AACCAGGGGTGAGATCCAGCAGGTTCTGACAGGTTCTGGAGAACTGATAGCAGAAATTTTGAGCAGTTCCGAGAACCAGCAAATACCACCTCTGGGTGGCCTGAGAGTGGGGTGGGAATGGAGATTTTACAATATCCTTCCCCCAGGATTGGGGAGGAAATGGGAATTTTGCAGTATCCTTCCCCTGCCACGCCCATCAAGATACACCCACCAAGCCACACCCACAGAACTGGTAGTAAAAAAAATTGGACTTCACCACTGCCCAAAACATTGATCAAATGCAAGCTATATATAAATTAAGGTGAAAAAAGACCCAAAGGGAGGGTGGTGAATTAGATGGCAAGCAGTCATGCCACTTTAACTACCAACCAGACACATTTCTGAATTTCACTTTCATTCATCTAAGACAGTGGCCCCCAATCTTTTGGGCACCAGGACCGATTCCATGGAGAAAAATTTTTCTGCAGACCCGAGGGGGTGTGGTTTTCCATCCTGCCTGCATTCCACAGATGGGGCTTTGCTTGTTCCCATGGACCGGTTTGCTGGCATGCTGTAGACCAATACCAGTCCACGGACCGGGGATCGGGGACCCCTGATCTAAGATACGGAATCTACATTAGCATAAGGAACAGACTGCTGTTCTGGGTCACATGCAAAGTCAGAAACTTTCTGCTAAGGAGGAAAAGATTTTGCCTTTGAAAAGAGCAATGGAGAATCCCAGGAGAAAAGGAACCAGAAGCTATATGCTCAGGTTGGGAAAAGGAAAGGAATCTCTTTAGTCTCTGTTAAAAATAAAGTGTCAGTAAAAAACTGGATGGAGAAGCTTGGGGAAAAATGTTCATAAAAGGAAGCAAGAACCCTACTTGCAGGCATGAAGTCTTCCTACAGCACAGGTAACATTTTTTAGATGAGCTAGAAATAATGCGTAATGTTGCTTTTTACCAATGTTCCTTCCTATCGATCCTTTACAAGCCATCTTTCTATGCAAACTGGTACCTTTTCGTGTCAGAGTTGCTTTTATATTAGTGGCAGATCTATCATCCTTTGAACTACTAAGAGTTTTATGTTCTCCCGCATATTCTTTTTAATTGGATATTCTTTTCAGATGTCTGTGTTTTGAACCGTTCTGTATTCTTAGGCCCTCTACCACATCCAACAACTTAAAAGTTAAAAAGGTGCCACCATATTCTCCCTTTCCCTTTTTGTTTTAAATGAAGTTTGTGATTTTTGTCTCATCCTACATGGGATAAGGGTTTGGGTTTCATAATCACATGCTTCAATGAATGCTACAAGGCCAGGAAATGCTTGTGCTAAAGAATTTCCCTTTTATTATTTTCCCCTCTTTTCTAAGGGGGAAATACATACTGTGAGGATTAGAGTTGGAAGGGATGACATCAGGTAAAGTCATACCTAGGAAAATAGATAGTGGCAGCACTAATGCTGCACCCGAAGCAAGCAGTAGAGCTAGAAGGGATAGAGAGCTTCTGGGAGGCGAGACCACCAGACTTTTACACAATGGGTTTGATTTTGTTAGTGCCAGGAGCAATACTGCAGTAATATTGACAAATGCAGATTAAAGGGCAACATCTAAAAGAGTTTTCACACACTCTGTCTTATGAGGCTTATAAAGTCTTGAAAGGTCTTTATATTGTAAACAGTAGGAAGATAGAACAATATGTTTCTATATGGCCTAGTTTTAACAATATATTAAAGGTCTGAGTTTGTTCTATATTAATATTATATGGATAATTTAAATAATGATTTATACTTAGTTCATTTTAACCATGGTTTTATATATGTATATATGTATGCACACATGTGTATTATTGTAGTATCATTATTGTATTATTTTTATTCTTAGTTTGGTTGTTGTGTGTTTGTTTTTATATATTTATGTTGTTATATTTCACCAAATGAAGAAAGCATTTAAAAGCAAAGGATGTGTTCTTCAGGATAAGCCATTCAACTAACAGTACAACATTATGCCAGTTTACTTAGTAACATGTCTCTTTCATTTCTATGAAATTGATCCCCAAGAAAGTTTGCTTAAGGTTGAAGCCTAGTTTACCAAGCATAGCTACTCAGACATTAAGCCTCCAAGTCTCATGTAGTTCAAACATGAAGTAATATGTAGACTTTACTCCAGCATACAGTTAGCATACTTTAACCTCATTTAAATCACAGCCTGTCAGTTCCAAGTGCCATTTAAAACATACTTTTGTCTCTCAAATTTGGTCTTGTGATTTTTACTACTGAACATTTCATATGAAGAAACCTACATAACCAAATCTGTAGGCTCAGCACTGATACCATCAAAGCGTAACTGAAGATGGATTTTTCCCCCAGATATTCTCTTCTTAACTATCTTCTTCCAGTTTCCCTGCAGCCAACCATGAATATCTCCTTGCTTGATTTGAGTGGGTTCCTGCAAGCTGTTTCAGCAAAGCTGCCTTTAAAATATGTATGAGTCTATTCATGCTGAAGAATTAGAGGGAGTAGAGGTTAGTTAATCTTTGCATTAGAGGACCCAAAGGTTTTCAAGAATTTTTAAGGCACTGCCACATATTTAATAGCCGGAAAGGAGCAGGATGTAGTATACAGTTCCTCCCAAGATTCTTTCTAGGCTAAATTTAGATTCTTATCATCTTCAACCATCATTGCAGGAACAAACTTCGGGAGCAGATTAGAAGTTGGGCACTCACCACCCAGTTAATTCAAATAACCGATAGAGAAAAGTAGGAGGGGAAAAGATTCTAACTTAACCATCTCTCCTATTATCACAGAAATTTTTAAAAGCATTTATAAGAAGGAAAGAAAAAAAAAGATGGAAAATATCCTCCCAAAGCACATATGATTTCACGGAACTAGAGTCACACTTTCTTTAAAGAGACATGGCATAAATCAAACTCTGATAGTGGAATTTATGAATCCAGACAACTTTTACTAATTGATCCCTCCTTATACAGCCATGTAGGTTGATCATTTTTTTTTCTCCACCCCTTCAACTTGTCTTGCCAGAAACTGACAGCTGCTTCTGCCACTACAACTGAAGATTTCTAGTGGGAAGAAGCATTCCTGAGGCTCCATGTTCACCTTTATTTCATCCATCCATCCACCCGTCCACACCCACTCCAAGCTCTCTTTTAACCAGAGGTCAGGGAATAGGAACTGGTGGCCTCTAGTTAATCTTAACTCTGAATAGTACACCAATATGATCAATGTGAAGGATACTGACAGAGGATCTAGAGCAGTGCTTCTCAATCTTAGCCACAAAAGCCAAAACTTCCATTTCCTCCATCAGTATGAACTGGAAGGACTTGGTTTTTCTTATTTCTGCATATTAAGACATTGCTTATATAAGTAAGATTGAAGATTATACTTCTGCAACTTGGTGCCTTCTAGATATATTAAACAACCCCAGCCAACATGAATGACAAAATATTATCAACATTAGCAAGTCGGAAAATCTACAAGGGGAGGTTTCCTGCCATTCTAACTCTTACTCCAATCTCAGTGTCTTGAAAGGTAATTAAATATTTTTTCCTTTTCTATTCCATTAGCTCTCCCCAAGCAATCAAGTATAACCAAGATTTATCAAACCTAGTATCTTTTTTTTCTACCTACAGAAAATCTGTTGGTAAAGAGGATTAAGTTAGGAGATTGCTCTTGCTGATTCTTCCCAGCAAAGAGGTGCCAAAACAGTCTAAGAATTAAAGGATGGTGTAGATGCTGGCAGTAGTATGCTCCATCATCATGTTGTCTCTATTCACCTCCATGGCTCATTCTAAAAATGGGTTGAAAAATGTTTAATTAAAAAAAACCATGATATTAGGATGGCAGCCAAATAGAGTTATGCAAGCCAAATGGAGTTATCCATTAATTGCAAGAAAAAAGGTCCAAAATGGCATTAAAGTGTCTATGTGTACATATGCACTAATACAAATAGTCCTCACTTAACAACTCTCCTGTTTAGCAACCGTTTTAAGTTACAACAGTGCTGAAAAAGTAACATTAAAACCGGTCCTTAGATTTACAACCATCCCAGGGGCCCCAAAGTTACGTGAGATTCAGGCCCTTCACAACTGGCACACATTTATGACCGTCACAGATCCCACAGTCACATTAACTGCCATTTGCACACATCACTGCTGACTTGTGACAAGCAGAGAAGACAATGGAGAAGCCAGCAATAAAAATTGCAAGCCGCAATCAACCGATGTCTCTCTCAGCGGCCTAGCGATGGATATGCCGGTCCCAATTTTAAGCATGTACATGTACATGCCTGTACACAGAGTGAGAATGGACACACCACTCCATTCTATAATAAAGTTCTTTTGTAACTAACTTATTTAGTTCTGATACATAGCGCGGCCCAAACTGTGCAAGCAATCCCAAATGCCCGATTCTGGGCATTTGTGATCTTGGCACTAATTTGGGAGGAAGTCTCTCTGAATTCCAGGGAAGTTGCTTTCCTCGGGGAATTCAGCAAATGTTAGCTGTAGCACCCTCTCCATCATTTTTTTTCCTTTCCTGCCCCCCATAAATATAGAAGCCTCAAAGGAAAATGCTGCTGACAAGCGCCAATAAGGCCCTTCAGCGGGAGTTTGGGGAGGATGGCCGTTCTCCATCCCCCTAACAAAATAAAGGACTGGGCAAACTCCCCACCGCCTCCAAATAAGACGCCCCCGGGGTCCAGGTTAGCGGGGCTGCCCTTCTACTACGCCGCTAAGACTCCTCCAGCGACCTCACGTTTACGGACGTCCTTGTAAGATGCGAGCCCGCTCAACGGATGACAGCTTGAGCGAAGCTCGTCTCATATAACGCGGCGGCCGCCTTTGCAAATCGACGCCGCGCCCGGTCGGGGCGAGCGCTCCATCTCATCGCCGGCCGCGCAAACCCCCTTCAGCCCGCCGCGCCGGAGAAGAGGGCGGCCTACCCAGAGGAAGCGCCCGAGGGATGCCGCCCGCAAGGAGCTCCAACGAGCCCGGCGAACGCCTCACCCTTCTTCTCCTCCTCCTCCTCTTCCTGCTGCTGCTGCTGTTGCTGCTGCTGCCGCCGCCGCCGTCCTCGGAAAGAGAAAAGCCCGCCGCCTCGGCCGCTTCTGCCTAGCGGGCGCCTCCTGGGCTCTGCAGGTCCCGCCGGGGCTTGCATGGACCACGCGCTGTGTGCCGCCCCGCTCCTCAGGGGCGCGAGCAGCCTGGCCGGGGTGTGGGCGCCTCGCGCATTCTGCTGCCGCTGCTGGTTCTGCGCGCTTCCCTCGCCGCGGCGGCCGGCTGCTTTCTGCTCGCCTTGGGCCCCCCCCTCCTTCCTTCTGTCCCTTGAGGAAGGAAGAAGGTTGGGGGGGGGAGAGGAGGGAGGGAGGGAGGGAGGAGGGAAAGGGAATAGCTAATCTGAGCACAAGGGCGCCATTAAGCTTCTGTGGCTTTGCAAGCCGGAGCGGGGCTGCTTTGAAGCGACCGCTAAATTGGGTGCGCCGCGGATGCCCCCCGCGCGCCCCCTGCCGGCTCGCGGGGCGCAAGACAGAAAGGACAGAGCCTTCCCCCCTCAGGCAATCTCAGGTTCCGGATCGGTATTGCCGGACTTCAGGCTTGGGTGGCGATTGGCCATTGATGATCGAGTCGCTTTTGCGGGCTGCTTTGGATGCTTAGCAGTCCGCGAGCGATCTATCAATCAGAATAGAGCTGGGAAGGACCTTGGAGGTCTTCTAGTCCAGCCCGGTGGTGAAATCCATTTTTTTTTACCACCGGTTCTGTGGGCGTGGCTTGGTGGGCATGGCAGGGGAAGGATACTGCAAAATCTCCATTCCCACCCCACTCCAGAGAAAGGATACTGCAAAATCTCCATTAACATCCCACTCCAGGGGAAGGATACTGCAAAATCTCCATTAACATCCCACTCCTGGGGGGAAGGATATTACAAAATCTCCATTCCCACCCCGCTCTGGGGCCAGCCAGAGGTGGTATTCGCCAGTTCTCCAAACTACTCAAAATTTCCGCTAACGGTTCTCCAGAACCTGTCAGAACCTGCTGGATTTCACCCCTGGTCCAGCCCACTGCTCAAGCAGGAGACTTTATATACCATTTCAGACTAGTGGCTGGCTCTCCAGTCTTTCTTAAAAAAACCCTCCAGTGATGAAGTATCTACAAGTTAGGAAGGCAAGCCACTTCCGCTGGTTAATTGTCCTCACTCTTAGGAAGTTTCTCCTTAATTCCAGGTTACTTCTCTCCTTGGTTAGTTTTCATCCATTGTTTCTTGTCTCCTCTTCTGGTGCTTTGGAAAATAGGTTGACACCTCCCCTCCTCTTCGTAGCAGCCCCTCAAATACTGGAATACTGCTATCATGCCCCCCCCCAGTCCTTTTTTTTCTCTAGACTGGCCATGCACAGGGAAATAAAAGCACTTCCTTCTGAACCAATCCCTTGTCTTTGGGAGAAAAATGTATGGTCCTGGCTCAGCCATAGGATTTTAAGAGAATTTTCATTGGAAAATGTAAAGGAAAGGGTGGATCGCTTATTTTCCTGTATTCTTCTAACACTTCTCTCTTCCTTTTTTCTAATTCAGACCGTCCCAATCTTTAACCAGAGCATTCAGTTGTAACCTAAAATGGGCAAATGCTAAAAGACGAGACATAGCTGAACTGTAAAATTTAACACTCAGCCATCATTTTCTCTACATTGTCCCACATCCAAAGTACAAAGACAACCAACAGTTGTTGCTCCTGACTGAGATAAATTAAAACTCAGTGATCAGGGCAATTTACGTTCCTGCCCTTTCAAGGGCTGGAGGAATACTTTTTAATGGTAGCCATCTGAGTGTATCGTAGTTAGTTTTATAACAGGATTCATCATTATTAGTCTTCAAAGTCGCCCTCCAATGTGGGCATTTGAAATTGGCCGCAGTGTGATCAATGGACTCTACAGAGGGTGTCAAGAGGGGGCAGGGGTGGACGGGAGAAAGAAATGGCAGAAGCTCTTCCTTTGGATACAGATTGCCTCCTTCATATAGTATGTCCATTGTGATGTCACACATACCAAAGGAGTGAAGCTTGTGTCGGGACAGCGTAATGCCACTGTCCTCACTTTTGATGAAAGCATTGTGCCCTTCAGACACCTCTGTATCAGGGATGAAATCCAGCAGGCTCTGACAGGTTCTGGAGAACCAGTAGCGGAAATTTTAAGCAGTTTGGAGAACCAGCAAATACCACCTCTGGCCGGCCCCAGGACTGGGGAGGGAATGGGGATTTTGCAGTATCCTTCCCCTGCCACGCCCACCAAGCCATACCACACCACACCAAGCCACGCCCACAGAACCGGTAGTAAAAAAATTTGGATTTCACCACTGCTCTCTATATAAGACAGAATGTTAAATGAGAAAAAATCTTTACTTGATCTTTAAAATAAGGAACCTGAATATCTGTACAGTACCTGCAGTCTATCTGCAGAGTTTCTCAGTCATCCAGGCCATGTCCCATGCTTTTTCAGGAGGCAAATAGACTTTGTTTTTCTTTTGAAGACATTTCGCTTCTCCTCTTTTTCTTCAGAAGAAAAAAACAAGGAAGTCCAGTAGCCTCCTGAAAAAGCACCTTTGGGACTACCTAAATGTAGTCTGATTTACAATGCTTTATTTAGCAATGGTTCAAAGTTATAATGGCACACAAAAAAGAGACTTACGACGGGTCCTAGCATTTAACAACTATCACAGCATCTCCAGGTCATGTGACCAAAATTTGGGTACTTGGCAACCAGCAAATATTTATGACAATTACAAGCATTCCAGGGTCATATGTTTGCCATTTATGATCTTCCCAGCTGACTTCCAACAAGTAAAAGCAGAGGGAAGGCAGTCGATGTAACTTAATAACTAGGATGATTCACTTAACAACCATGGCAAAATAGGTCATAAAATTGAGCACAATTCACTTAACTGTCATACAGTATTTAGCAATGGAAGTTCCAGTCTCAATTGTAGTTGTAAATTGAGGACTACTTATATATCCCTTTTGACTGGTAGTGTTAAGAACTTTCTGTCTCTATGGAAGTGTCAGTGTTAAATTAGAACTGGAACTCTCGTCAATTCTTGTGGCTACAGCTCCCAGAATTCCTGTGCCTCATAATTCTATAAGACCAAAATACATTCATTTGCCGATTTCCAAAATTACAGGTGAATAGCATGTAGCATTGTAACATTGGCACATCACTGGATGTGGTAGTGGAATAGCATTCAGAATGCTTGCATTCATAATTGCTTCTGGACTTCTTGCTTGAAACGGGGGAAAAAATGAAACTGAATTTATTAGTCATGTGAAAAAATAGGTACATTCTCTGTGAGTTCTGTAGTTTTATGTATCATGACATAGTAAGAATCATCTGGTCCTTAGCAGTTCTTAAAAGTAGGTAAATACAATCTCAGGTGAACAACAACACATGACATATTACACTAAGTCATCATTTATTTTACAAAAAGAAAGCCAAAATGTTGGAAAAACAAAGTACACCTTATGATTCAATAGCTTGTAGAATCATCTTTGGAAGCAATAATTTGAAGTAATCATTTTCTGTATGGCATTATCAGTCTCTCACATTGCTGTGGAGGAATTTTGGCCCACTCTTCTTTACAACAATTGCTTCAGTTCATTGAGGTTTGTGGATATTTGTTTATGCGCAGCTTTCCTGCGGTCCCACCACAGCATTTTAGATGGGTTGAGGTGTGGACTTTGACTGGGTCATTGCAACATCTTGATTCTTTTTCAGCCATTCAGTTGTAGATTTGCTGGTGGGCTTGGGATCATTGTCCTATTGCATGACACAATGTCAGCCACGCTTTAGCTGTCGGACAGGTGGCCTCACATTTGACTCTATAACATTTTGATATACAGAAGAGTTCATGGTTGACTCAATGACTGCAAGAGCCCAAGTCCTGTGGCTGCAAAACAAGCCCAAATCATCACCCCTTCATCACCATGCTTGATGGTTGGTAGAAGATGTTTGTGCTGATACGCTGTGTTTGGTTTTCACCATATGTGGCATTGAACATTATGACCAAACATCTCTACTTTGGTCCTGTCTATTCAAAGAACAGTGTTCCAGAAATCTTATGATTTCTATCAATCAGAATAGAACTGGAAGGGACTTTGGAGGTCTTCTATTCCAGCCCTCTGCTCAAGCAGTAGACACTATACTATTTCAGACAGTTGACTGTCCAGTTTTTTCTTAAAAACCTCCAGTGATGAAACACTCACAACCTCTGAAGGCAAGCTGTTCCGCTGGTTAATTGTCCACACTCTTAGGAAGTTTCTCCTTAATCCCAGGTTCCTTCTCTCCTTGATTAGTTTCCATCCATTGTTTCTTGTCTTGCCTTCTGATGCTTTGGAAAATAAGTTGACCCCCTTATTTTAGAGGCAGCCCCTCAAATATAGGAATACTGCTATCATGTCACCCCTAGTCCTTCTTTTCTCTAGACTACCTATTCCCAATTCCTGCAACCATTCTTCATACATTTTTGTATCCAGGCCTTTAATTGTCTTAGTTGCTCTTCTTTGCAATTTTTCCAAAGTCTCGACATCTTTTTTGTAATGTGGTGACAAAAACTGGATGCAGTATTCCAAGTATGATCTTACTAAGGATCTATAGAGCGGTACTAATTATTCATGTGATTTTGATTCTATGCCTCTGTTTATATAACCAAGGATTGTACTAGCTTTTTTGGTTGCTGCCGCATATCGCTGGCTCATATTTAAGTGATCATCCACTAGGACTCCAAGGCCCGTCTCACAGTTACTGTTTTAGAACCAGATTTCACTTAATCTGCACTTGTACCTTTGGTTTTCCTTGCCTAGAAGTAAAACACATATTACATTTGTTTGGATGCAACTTTGCACACCTAAGTCATGCTGCCATGCTCTTTTTATAGAGAAGAGGTTTTCTCCTGACAACCCTTCCAAACAAACCATACCTGTTCAGTCTAATTTTTCTAATTGTACTGTCATGAACTTTAACATATAACATGAGGCCTGTAGAGTCTGAGATGTAACTCTTGGAATTTTTGCAATTTCTCTGAGCATTGCACAGTCTGACCTTAGGGTGACTTTGCTGAGATTTCCATTGCTAGGAAGATTGGCAACTGTGCTGAATGCTTTCCACTTGTGAATTATCTTCCTCACTCTAGAATGAGGGGCTTTGAATTGTTTGGAAATGGCCTTATAACCCTTCCAAGGCACTAACAATAGCTTCTCTAAGATTATTGCTGATGTCTTTATTCTTTGGCATTGTGTTAACACACACTTCAACGCTGGAGCCCAGCAAATGCCTAAAACTTTGACTTTTAAAGAGGTAGTCATACTTGTTGATGATCAGTTGATCAAGAGTGCTTGATTAGCAGCACCTGTTGGCTACTTAGCCTTATCAGATATATATTGACG